ATGCACTGGGCAGAAGCGGTGACGGCGCCGCCGCCGCCGCCGTCGCCTCGGTATGCGCGAGCTCCTCTCCCGCCGTCGCTAAACTGGTCGTAGCACCACTCGACGCAGAGAATCCTCGGAGGCCGCCGCCGCCGCCAACGCCGCCGCCGCCGCCGCATGAAGCTCGCACGCTCGTCACGCTGGCGCTTAGGACTCTCCGCGCCGCCGTCGCTGCTGGCGCCGCTGCCGCTGCCGTACTAGCTACCAGGGGCGGCGCCGCAGCTGTCAAGGCCGCAAGGCTCTGCGATGTTATCACCGCTCGCATGAAGTTGATGACTGAAGCAGCCGAAGCTTGTACGATCGTCGCAACTGTCGTACACTCCATGGGCTGTGCAGGTGCTGTGGTTATACGACGCCAGGCTACAAGACGTGTGCTTATGAATCCTCTCACTGCCTCCATCCTCGCCCGTAAGAACAAAGTCCCCGATTCGTTTAAAAGCCTCAGTCCTTACCCCGAGAAGTTTGGTGTCGTGTAGTCCTCAAATGAAATGCTAGGTCCAAACAGATTTTTACAGTTGTCACAACCCGAATCATGGAACTGCAAAAGGGAATCGGCTGAGCAGCGTCCTCAACGCTCCACCGCAACAAACACCGCACCTGGTTGCGCGACTTGATTAGGCGGCACACGTAGCAACAAACAACTTTCTTATTGGTAAGAGCAAAGTCAGAAGGGTCCCGATTGGACTCGCCGTGTGCTGGGACGTCAGCGACCCGTTCCATTTCCGGGCTCCGGGCCCGTTTCTATGTAGATGCTACTTACTCCTAGTAACGTATTAAGCATATATATAGGATGCACCACAACTCAGGCTGCCCGGAGAAAAATACACGGAGAACGGAGCTGCGCAGCGACGCTGCCGATATCGTTGCTGTAAGGTTGGGCTGACTACAGTTTCAAATTTAAACATATACCGTAGAGGCATATGAAGGAGGTGCATAAATGAAGAGTACCGTCACGAATTCAGCTATTGGAAGAGGTCCGAGGCGATTGTTGCAGTTGGGGGTTGACTGTCGTACCAGAAAACCTGCCGAGGTTGTCCCTCAGCCCGGGGAGTACATTGGATTTCCGGGTGCGTATTGTGCAGCACGTAGAAATTACTTTAATTGGTGGGTGGCGGATGCTTTGGTGTGTGGGCCCTTGGGGCTTCTCCTCGCGTCGAAAAGGCATGATCAAATTGCAATAGCCGATAGGTTCAGGTTCGCAGGGTGACGGGGTTACGTTCTGCGCTTCCTAAGCCCAGGCTTACATGTGTTTGAATCGATGCCTGTAGGGCTGATGCGTGTAACACATGCAACTAAAACCGAAGCCAGAACTCAGAACCATGCCAAAACTCAAATGCCCGAAATTAGCTTCATATCAACAGTTAGATATTTTCATTCTAGACACGTATATTATTGCTTTATACGGCTCGGAGCTGGATAGCTCAGGCTTTTGTGGGTTTGACTGTAATGCACCTAGGTCGTCCAGGCGCCTTCGACGGTTGAAGTTGGAGTTGTCCGTCTCTTGTCTTCCAAGAATGCATGAGCTATGAAATGTTTTGATTGCATTAAGGATCAGGCAATTGGATAGCAGCACCAGGAAGACTACATCGCAAAGTTTGTCCTCACAATTGCTTCTGTTTGCCCGCTTACAGGCAGAAACTGGAAGATCTGCGCGATGAATGCTGTGAGCAGGACGACAATTACATCTACCTTTCAGCGTGCGATGTTCCGTGTCTCGTCCGTGTCTCGTCCCATGTTAGGGCTCGGTGACATGGAGCGACGGGGAGATGACATGCTGGGCCTAGGCGTTCAAAGCAAACAGGTTAAGCAGGAACTGATGATTTCGAAAACCTTTAGTGTGGGCTTTGATGGGGTACGTAGGCGTTGCGTCCAGTGCCGTTGCGTGCTGTACTGCACTTCACAGTGCAGTTCGTCGTACCCTGTGCAGCGCCTGGTGTATTGTCCGGTGCCATGTTGGACGTTTCCCTGCTATCGTGTTCGGCTGGCGGCTGGCAGCAGAAGCGGCAGCAGCAGCAGCGACAGTGATCGTTACAAGGCAAAGCAAACACCTGTAGGAATGCGTGAGCTATTATGGATAAGATTTTAAAAGACAAAGACAAAGACAAAGACATTTTTTATGCATGCAAAGACAAAGACAAAGACAAAGACATTTTTTATGCATGTCTTTTCGCCCGTGAACCCAAACAAGACGGCCTCATGAACCACCTCATCGTACCTTGCTGATTATTCCTTCCCCTCCGCCCATCCTCCTGCCCCGTCCTCCCGCCTGCCTCTGGTACGTCCTTATGGCTGCGCGGCGGCCGTATATCAACACCAATGCCGAGGGCGCAACGATTGGGCGCTACACGAGCTGCAGTCCTTGCATGAGCCCCTGAATTTCAAGATACCTCGCGCTTTGCGGTTGGTCGTACTGTTTAGGGTTTTCAGTTCCGCATTTTGTTGGGAGCGTGCAATCATGTCTGCCTGGCGGTCTGCTGCGACAGCAGCAGTAGCAGCAAAGCAGTAGCAAAGCAAACGATATCATCCCCTCCCGCCCCGCCCCACCTGTTCCCCGAACCGCGTACCCTCCTTTTGACCGGCGGCGCTTGGCGGTATCTACGGTGCAAGCACCCTCCAGATGATACATGCGGTAAGTCGGCGATATGGATCCGTGCCGTATCGTGGCGTGTACTACATGTTTCGTGTCGCCGTGCCGATTGTGTTTTCCTGCGCCGCGTATCGCGTGATTATGCAGTCGTACTTGGCTGGCGGTTGGTGGCAGCAGCAGCAACAGCAACAGCAGGAGCAACAGGAGCAAAGCGCAGCGGAGCAGACCCCTTAAGGAAAGGTGTCCAGCCCTAAAACAAAGTCCGGATTAGCGTTGCTAGCCACCGTCCAAGCATGATTGCTGTGTATCTCAGTATGTGCCTGTGTTTAATGACCTCGTTGTGGGAAACGCTGCCCGTCGCGGTAATGGACGCCGCGCTATCGCTCCACATCGACGCCTTCCGGCAACTGCTGCCACGGTACCGCGGATATGAATGCCACACGGTACGGTGCGGTTCCGTACAGTAACGTACGGTGCGGTACGGGTGCAAGGGTTTCAAATAAAACCTGCAGTAGCATGTCGTAAAACACAGCAGGATTCCGGAAGTGGTCTCCCTGGTAGTGGCCTGAGTTCTCTCTCGCTTCCCTGCGCGGGAGTGCACTGTCTGTCTGTCACCAGGGAGCAGTTTTTCCGCAGGAGGGCGGGTGGTGCATACGAGGTGAGATAGAGAAGGATAGGAACGGTTGAGAAGCGCCAAGGCCTCGCCGGTGTCCGTTTTTAGTAGTCCCTTAGGTGGAGCTGCCAAGAGCGCACCACTCGCCAGCCCCACCTCCGCGTCCGTTGTTCGTGTCGCTATTTGCGCGAAGCGGGACTTTGCAATGCAGGGCCCGACCACCGCATGCTCGCCTGATGCTCGTACGGTGGGTTTCTACCCGCTCAGGTTATGGGCTCGCGGACGGGTAAAGGAGGTAAGTGCGCCGTTTCTAGGAAATGGGACGTTCTCTGACGCGCTTGTGTTTTCCCTTTATCGATCTTCCCTAGGTGGCAGAGGCGCCTGGCTCCGCTGTCTTCTTCCCGAGGCTCGTGTTGGTGCTGCTGTGGCGGCGGCGGCACCCCGTCGTGGTGCTGAGGGGGGCTGAGCACTTCACTATTACGAGTGTCAGTATGTGCGTTGATTTGAGTTGAGGGATGTGTCCAGCAGATTACCAATCTGTTTCGGCTGTACGGGCGATTAACTGGTCGGTTGCTATCGGTTGTGGTGTCGTGACTCTTCCGTATGCCGTAGTTTGTGGAGCATCATCCTATTGTGCTTTTCATGTCGCGGTACGGTACGAGGATTAGTGATAACTGCACAGTGGGCTTTGGCCGGAGGCTGGCGGCACAGCAACAGCAGCAGCAGCACTGTGTCGTACCGTCGAGATATATTGCGCGCTTGATTTGCTATGAGCCGGTAATAGACACATCACACGCTGACTTGTCCACACACACGCCCTCCCCGCTTGTTTCTCACTGTATGTCCGCATGAACCTGGTCCTGCAATCAACATGATGGTCGCTGCTGCTGCTGCTGCTGCTACTGCCGGAGTTGAGTACCTTCAAGAGCTGCGATTACTGGCGGGTGCCTGAGGGAAATTTCTTGCGAATCTGTGTATGGCAAGGAGCAGAGGTGCCGTTAGGCCAGAGGTGAAGCCAGTGCGGCGGCGGTGGTCGTGGAACTGGTGGCGGTGGATGGCGCGATGGACATGGATAGGGTGTCTATATTTTAGATTCGGCCCCGGTGACCTATTTCCATGTGGGTTCGAGCCCCACCGTGATCGAGGCTACAGCCGAGCTCGCGGCTAAAGCTTCACCTTGTCAACACCTCTATTTTCTCGTTTTTATCCAATAGATATGTCTAGCAGAAGATAAGGAGAAACTGCAGTAGCAGCAAAGTGCGGTTGTCCAATACGCGCTGGATGAGAAGCGGCGCCAGTAAGCGCCACATCCAGGCCGCGTGCCGTTGGTGTGTAAGTATTTCAACAGTTCGTAGCGCCCGCGTGCGCTTTGGTCGTCAAGCCCTGCACCCGCGTCGGCTCCCTTGTTGTGTGCACTTCGGTATCTTACCGTTACATTGCCACCATTTATCTATGACGCGGCAATTGTCATTTTAGGAGACTTCGGACTGGAAAATTCACCGGCAAAATTGAAAATAAACACAGGAAGGCAGGATCTGCCAGGTAGCGGCTGCAGGGTGAAGATATGACCCCCCTGTCCCATACATCATACATACACTATATATAGGCAGGCGGCTGGCAGAGGTTAAGGCCTGACTTCTGCTCCCAGTCGACCCAGTCGACCCGGGTTCAAATCCGCCTGCCGGCTCCTCGGGTGTTTGAGGAGTGATGAAATGGGAGGTGGCCCCCCATCTTATGGACGGTGTAGGACGTGATAATATCAACTTGCGAGCTGACCAGGAACTAAGTTGATGCGCCGTTGACCCGCTAGATTTGGTTGGATGCTGGTGGTGAGTTGCCGAACCCAACGAATACATTCTGAAGTCGGATGGGGTGACGGATTAGGGTGCCCCTCTAGCAGGGGAGAGCAGGGACTGCCCCGGGAAAGGGGGCCGCTGGCGAAGTTAACCACCCTGTAACAACATACACTCTCTTGCACTTGGATGTGTCGGACCGTCTGTCTTGCAGCCACCCTGTGGACCACTATCAGGCTACCGCAGCTCGGTCGCCACCATGGAGGCAGCTGCTGATTACATATTGTCACTTGGTGTTGGGATGACAGCACAGTGATGGAGCTGATCATGAACTTGTTGGAGCAAGGGATGGATGGCAACAAGTGATAGGGAACGGAAATGTGGCGGGAAGGGGCTGACGGGCGAGGGTGAACGGGAGGGATATAGGGTGATAGGGAGCTGGGCGGTGCACGATCTCGCTGCTCACAGCAGTGCTGGGTGACAATGATGGTGCATCGATGGATGACCTCGAAAGAAGAAGCTACGGATGGCTTAGCCCTGTCAAAGGAAAGCTCCCCATGATAGTTCCATGGCGCCCTTGTTCGGGCCGCAGTTCCTTTTGTAAGCAAACGTGACTTAAAGCACCTTAGATACTCTAAGAAGAACTTCAAGAACCATAACGCTGTATCAATAGCTCTTGGCACTTCCGCCATGGGCAGATTACGTCAATCGCCCGCTATGCCACATAAGCAAAAATGAAGCAACGGCCTTCATGATAACTTGACCTGTTGTTTGCAAGGGCTTGCACTTAGGGATCTTGCTTCCGGGGAGGACGTAACCAGGTGCAGAGGAACGGAGGTGAACGTGATAATGCAGTGACATACAGCTATAATATAAAAGTTAAATAGGCTAACTGTCGACAAAGTGAGTTCGCCGAACTGCACCTTACCAACACACTTGGATTTGCAGCTGTTGCGCCGTACAATTTAGCTGGCCTCTGACAAAAGGCACCTCCCATAGCACTTCCAGCTCCATTAGCAAATGTGCACAACGTCCGATATTTGATCACAGGCTTTCACCCAACGTTTGAGCCCTTCTTTTCGGCCTGTTCCAGCTCTGGTGCGTCCGTAAAAGCTGCTAGTTTCCTACATATGACCAGCAAATGAGGAAGTCTGAACAGCTGCGCGGCGCCCTGAGAAGCTGCTGTGGACCCTGCAAACGTTTGCAAGGTACTGTTCGTTGCAAAACCTTCATGCTGTAGCCGCCGCACTTCAGTTCCATTGCTCTAATTTATTACACGGTTAGATCAAGCATTTATTTATTGAACCCCTGCTGACGTTGCTTCAGGCACAGCGTCGCCGCTTCATGGACATGGACTTGCCTGACTCATCTGTGAGGGCAAGGTGCGACTTGCGGCAACTCATTTTTTTGAGGTGAGATGCTTGCTTCTCGAGCTTGTGTATGGATCTTTGAAGCACAAGGGGCTTTGTCGACGGGCTTTCGACGGGCATGTGTTTGTGCAGCGCTCTGCTGCAAGAATATGGGCGTATGCAGCGTTTGAGCGTTATCCCGACAGTTGTGCTTTAGCTGTGTAAGGAGCCTACGAAGGCTGAAAGCTAGGCGGTCTGGCAGGAAAGTACACGTCGTTAGGCGAGACATGACCACTTCGTCCGATGTCCGTGACCTTCCTCGCGACAGAGACGACTGCTCATTGGAGTTGCCCAAGACCTTCCAGATCGACCGCATTCCACCTGGCAACGAGAATCACTGCGTACACCAAATTTCAACTCTCCAAGACCCCAGTGCGATGTTGCGTCGGCGTGAAGCAAGGGCCCCCATTGTCAACGCTTCTAATCAACGCAGTCAAGCTCACATCGTCTTCCGCTGCTGGTGAGTGACGCCGGATGCACGGTCGCCCGTACATGTCGTACGTTAGTTAGAACGCGCCTAGATTTCCGGCCGTGAGGCCGTTACACGTCGTATCAAGGTCGGCCATCGTTCTTGGATTCTATGGGTGAAGGCGCGTTGCAAATGGATAGACGAGTTGGTGACGGAGGGGGATTTCGGTATGAAATTGTTGTACCTTGGTAAGGTGCGGCGTGTAGGGAGTACGGCATGAAGGTCTTTCCCCGTATGTTCACTGCGTGGGTGCCACTTTGTGTCCGTTCGTGATGTAGTGATGTCGTACATACGTTCGGAGCAAAGTTTCTTGCTGTGGGTGTTTCGTGGCGCGGTGTTTTTCTCCTGTCNGTGCCGGCAAGCAGCAACAGCGACAACGACAGCAAAAGCACAAAGGCAGCAAACG